AAAATCGAGTCTGCCACGATCACACATCTGTATAAATTTATATTTAATAAGAAAACACAGCTTTACGGTACAATCCAGTGGACCACAGCAACCAACACAGTTGCGGAGGCCCTGTGCGCACCTAGCGCTGGTTACAGACAGTCACGGTGGTCACAAGTATTTCTAAAAAAACATTAAAAAAATTAAACGTTTTTTTTTAATCTACACAGCGCTACCTAACGATACACTAGGCTAATGATACAGTGCAGCTAATTGGTATCATCGTTAGTCTGCGCGGAGGCAGCCAATCATATACCATATGTTTAGAGATACAGCTGTGCTGCTTAAATCTCCATCTACATTCCTACAATGTATTTTATACGACCCATACTGATAGTCAAAAGAACAACTGGAATTTGCTAGTGTCACTGCACAGCCAGAGTGTGGATATATGCTGTACGCAATACATTGTGGAGAAGTAGCTCGCAATTGAGCAGTATTGATGCATTAGCATACAGTACATGAAAGGCAGTTATGCAAATGAAGCATGAATAGTACAGTTAGCGATATCACATCATTATGGTTGTAGGCTATGTAAAGGTCATATGGTGCTGAAACATTTTTGAAAGTTTTTCGTGACTACATATGTATACCGACCGATAAAAGGCAAAAATGCTGAAATGTATAAGCACACATGCATAAGCGCACTCATTATCAGACATGCACATACCCAGTCATGTGTGCATTGTCCTTGTGTCGCCATGACAATCCGGGGTGTCGCGTGCATTGTCCTGGTGTCACCATGACAACCCAGCCTGCCTCATGCACTGTTCTGGTGTCACCATGACAACCCAGTCTGCCGCATGCATTGTCTTGGTGTCACCATGACAACCCAGTCTGCTGCATGCATTGTCCTGGTGTCACCACCACGACCCAGCCAGGTGTGTACATTGTCCTGATGTCGCTATGACATCACAAGCATATACATCCAATAGCTTTTGTCTAAATCTTTTTGGCAGTTGACCGGCGGCGCTGAAGTTTTTGCAATATGCCGTCAGATGGCGCTGTCGTGAAGTCGAAGAGCAAGCAGAGAAGCCATCACGCGCGAGATAGTGACGTCATGTACGTTCGCGGCGACTTGGATGGAGAAAACACATTACCTGCAAACATAAGGTACTTATCTTAGTGCTCGCCAACGTACGTGTGTTTACGTAAATCTCGTTAGGCGCTAATTAAACACCGTGACATCACGAATCGACCGATAACCACCCATCGAAATCACGCTGATCAGAATTTGTTTTCGCTTGATTTGTTAGAGTGGTTCGTACTGGTGAACTACATGCACACAAGTATATCTGTTCATGGCACGAGGGGTCCAAAAGGAATCGCACCCAACGAGAGTTGATGTGATGATGCTAGGCAGCTAGGGCACTGCAAATAAAAAGCAAAGTAATGCTGGCTAACCATTCTTCACCTTTTAATAAAATATAAGACAAAGTCATTACAGGAAGATGAGAATCGAGGGAAAAACCTTACAACTGTGTTGAAAATCTACGTGGAATAACGCGCCTCGCTAGAAAGCAATAACTTCTGCTGGCATTTTCATTTATATCAGGGTGTGATAGCCATCTCTCCAGCACTGGGAATCCATTTTCTGAAAGGTTGCCAGTAATATGAAGTAATCTCTAGGTGCCTATGATTTTCGTTAGCACTTAAGTGGAAGCGTCGTGCTCAGGCCATTATTGTCAATCTTTGGCGTACTTCCAAAAAACAACATTAGTTTGCGCGTGTGTGTGCGTGCGTTTATGCCTGGTTAGAGAATACCGGCTACAAGTAAAGAAAGAAGACTGGTAAAGAGAAAATGTGCAGTGCAGAAAGTTCTCCAGGAGAGAGAGAAAGAGCAAGAGAGAGAAGAGAAAGAGAGAGAGAAACAAAAAGAGAGAGAGAAACAAAAAGAGAGAGAGAGAGAGAGAAAGAGAGAGAGAGAGAGAGAAGAGGAGAGAGAGATGAGCACATGAGTATATGAAGAAAGGTGCAGCTTATTATGCGGGATTGAATGAGGCCACGGCACTGTGGTACGAAGCTTCTAAAGCCTATGCCCTCGCTATACGTGTAGCAGAGGAGCATGCTGAAGTTAACATGCGCAACGTGCTAGCTGGCGGCTTGGGTTAGGACTCTTGCCAGCTGTGAAACAGCTTAACAGTGATTGCAGGCAAAGCCCAGTTTTCGTTAACGCGAGCGCCCAAAAATTTCGCACACCCAATGTCGTGCAGAAGATAACCCTGTCGTGTCATACTAATGGTGGTGTCGTGCGTCGGGTGGCTTGTGTCGTCGTGTGATTACAGCGAATCCCAGTGTCCGTAAGTCGTGTCGTGTGTATGTGTGCGATTCTTGCAATACAAATAAGTGTAAATAACTTTCTGATGAAACTTTTGCGCGAGCGAGCCGGCTGAATTGCTGTCGTTAAATTCCCCATTTAAAGATGTGTGACCGGGGAGGCGAAGTTTGCCGAACCTTGATGACCGTTCGTCATACTGGTAGTGACGCAATCTTAGCTCCCAGCAATCTAGCCCGACGGTTACTCACTAGAACACTACCGAAAACATCGCTCATAATGGGCACGCGACTGTTGCGGCTCGGTTGCAGACACCGGCATCTGGCGCCACTTCATAGTAACGCTAATCGGGTCCATCGATGCACGAGGGCGTGAATGATTCAGCACTGGCCGCGCGGCTACAGCAAGCGGCGCGCTCTCAGCCCGGCCAGACAACTATTGGCCTGAAAGTAGCAATTAAATAACCGGAGGAGAGAGAGAAGAGAGGAAGAGAGAGAGAGAAGAAGAGAGAGCAGAGAAGAGAGAGAGAGGAGAGAGAGAGAGACCAGCACAGAGGCGCCCATGAGAGAGAGCAATATAGAGGATTGGATAGGAGAGAGGGGGGGGACGGGGCGGGGTTGGGGGGAGGTGCAGCAGAACGAGTAGATTCAAGGGCAGACAATGAGAGAGAGTAGGGAAGAAAGACAAGAGAGCAATGCGAGAGAGAGAGAGAAAAGAGAGGTTTTAGAACGTCAATAGTGAGAGAAGAGGGGGAGAGTGATGAGTGATGTGTGTACAGACTAAGTGAGTCGAGTCAGTTCGTGTGCGGGTGAAGTGAAGTGATAGTTTATTTGCAAAGGCAAGGGATCGCAAACAATCTCTCTCTCATCGTCTCTCTCTCCCTCTCCAGTCTCTCTCTCTCTCTCTCTCTTTCTCTCTCTC